CACTGCCACTGTCCTCTCCATGTCATTGCTACTGCCCCCCGTTACTGACACTGCCTTCCCATGTCACTGCTCTCCACATGTCACTGCCACTGCCCCCCCCCCCCCCCCACCCATGTCACTGCCACTGTCCTCTCCATGTCACTGCCCCCCCCCATGCCTGACACTGCCCCCCATGTGCCTGACACTGCCCCCCATGTGCCTGCCACTGCCCCCCCATGCCACTGCCCCCCACCATGTCACTGACACTGCCCCCCCCCACATGTCACTGACGTTGTCCCCCATGTGCCTGTGTCACTGACCTGCCCCCATGTGTCTGACACTGCCCCCCCATGTCATGTCCTGACACTGTCCCCCCATGTCACTGTCCTCCCCTTGTCACTGACACTGCCCCCCCCCCGATGCCACTGCCCCCCCATTGCACTGACACTGTCCTCCCGATGTCACTGCCCCCCATGTCACTGACACTGCCCCCCCCCCCCGATGTCACTGTCCCCCCTCATTCACTGCCACTGTCCTCCATGTCACTACCCCCCATGTCACTGCCACCCCCCCCCCATGTCACTGTCCCTCCTCATGTCACTGCCAGTCCCTCCATGTCACTACCCCCCTATGTCACTGCCACCCCCCCATGTCACTGTCCCCCCCAATGTCACTGCCACTCCTCCATGTCACTACCCCCCTATGTCACTGCCACCCCCCTATGTCACTGTCCTCTTTCCAATCCATTATAGTGATCCGTGGGATCAGCTTCAGTGGTTTGCAGCCTGTAAGGGGTTAACTGTGGCAGCTCTGTGCTAAAGTCGGACATCAGCGATCAGCTTCTCCGTCCTGAAACCAGCACATGCGCAGTTGCTTCAGGGGATACATATCTTCATGGGATACACAAAATACCACTACAGGGGCAGTAGCAGTCATGAAGAAGTGTGTAAGAACATTGGTAGTTGGAAGCCAACTGAGCAGGTGTAGTTGCGATCAGTGAAGTGGGTGGGTGAGTGGAGAAGTGGGTGGGTGCAGTGGCGGTCAGTGGAGAAGTGGGTGGGTGAGTGTGCGAGTGGAGAAGTGGGTGGGTTGGGTCAGTGGAGTCAGTGGGTGGGTGAGTGGCAGTCAGTGGAGAGGTGGGTGGGTGAGTGGCCTTCAGTGGAGAAGTGGGTGGGTGAGTGGTGGTCAGTGGAGAAGTGGGTGGGTGCAGTGGCAGTCAGTGGAGAAGTGGGTGGGTGCAGTGGCTGTCAGCGGAGACGTTTGTGGGCACAATGGCAGTCAGAGTGAAAGTGTATAGAACATTAGTGGTTAGTAGCAAATTGTGTGTCCAGTGATGGTCAGAGAAGTGTCAGCACAGTGTCAGTGCCATAGTATGGAGGTGCAGTGGTGGTCCATAGCAATGTGTGCAGAGCCAGTGGTGAAGTGCACAGGCACATTGGTGCTAAGTGGAGATGTCCGTAGGGACAGTGGAAGACAGCGGAATCGTAGGCACAGTGGCACAGCGTGCAGGTACAATAACAAAGGTCATGGGCCCAGTGCAGTTCAGTGCAATACTGTGCAGCAAAAAATGTCACCCTAAAACTTCAGCCAAGTTTTTTTTTTGTATAGCACCCTCCTAGCTGGAGTATGCTGCTAGGAAATTTTCGTTTGGCTTTCCTGTGGTCAGAGGAGCAGGGGATTGATTACTTAGGGTTGCTCAAGGTTTCACAGGTTGCTGCTCTGTTGTTTCCCCGTCTTCTAGAGATGTCTAGAACATAGTGGGAGGAAGGACAGCGCCTGCATCCTGAATATTTATGGCACTCCAGCCAATCCCTGGCAAGGTGTGCCTAAATGGTGGTGAGAGAGCCCATACATAGTCTGAGGCCTGAACAGCAGCGGCAGTGTTCTTGGGCCCAGTTCTGCAGAAGGACAACCCTGTTGAGGGCCTCTGCCTCCTGGGGCAGAATTCTGGGAGGAAGCCAGCCTGAAAACACTGGGATCCCAGCTAGGCAAAGCCAGGGGGCCTATTTACAAGTCCTAGTTCAAGGATCAAGTTGAGCCAAGAGAAAGCTCAGGAAATAGCTGTGAGGAAGCTGTGGGAAAGAGCCCAAGCTGTCCAGAGGTGGTGTGAGTCTACATCTCCCCCACTAGTAAGAGCCTGGTGGACAATAGCAGAATGCAACCAATGATCCTTTGGTTGAGTACAAGACCCCAGTGCTGCAAGTGTGACAGTGTTGAGCTATGAACTCTGCAAGGAGTACAGGTCACAGTCAGCCTAGAGACCCAGTGGGATATTTCTTTGTGCAAGTGCAGCCCGTAGTTGAGGAGTCCCCAATTTGTACAGTTTTACAGCTCCGCAGTATCCCATGCCCCGTATACCTATCCAAGTTCATCGTTCCCCAATGAACACACAGAAACCCCTAGACTGATCTTTGAGCCAAAGAAGAATGCTGGAAAATGCTGCGTGCCTGGCTGTGAGTGCTCTTAGGGGAAATGGGACTAAATTCCCCAGTGGGTCTTTTGGAGGTGCGCTACCTTACAAACAAATGGCAACTGCCCCAACCTATAACTGGCCTTTGCAGCAAGGAGCACATGGAAGGACAGCGCATGTCAAACAACAATAAAGAAAAATTCCCAACCAGCCTGCAACCAACCAAATTGTCATGTTTAACATTTCACGTTAAAAATGGGTTTAGTTTGCACACATTTGCAAATACATGTATAAGTTGCAGAGCCTCTTTGCGGCACCCCAGTTTTCTGCATGCATTTGCAAAGGTGTGCAAACTAAACCCGTTTTTAACGTGACCTGTTAGACAAGACAATTCACTTGGTTGCAGGCTGGCTGGAAAGTGACCCGGGAATTTTTCTTTGTTGTTGTTTGACATGTCACCCTTCCATGTGCTTCTTGCTGCAAAGGCCAGTCATAGGTTGGGGCAGTTGTCGTTTTGTACTGTTGGTATATTGGTGAGGGGCGCACTGGACACCTTCGCTTCCAACAATAAAAAATAAAAGAAAAAATGATCCTACCAGGCTTATGTCTTTGAATATATAAATAAAGGGAGCAGAGCTCACCACAAAGTCAAAAATACTCTGCAAATAAAAGATGGCTTTTGCTCAACATCTCAAACCCAAAGTATTTGAAAAAAGGAATTTCATTTGTGATTGAATATGGACAGAGGTCATTCATAGCAATAGTGAACCTTTATTGATTAAAATAACACATAAACACAATACTAACCCAATATAAAAGAAAATGATGGGTCAGAGGTAGTAACCATGGATCCAGGGAATCAAATGTCATCCATATAATTCATTAGTAATTACATTTTATAAATAATTATTGGTTGGACTGAGAGCTCTCAGAGAAGAGGGACAGACATAGAGAGTAAAGAAATGCAGAAAAAAGAGTGGCCACTAAAAAATGTGGCTGCTATATCGGTGTATTCCTCTCTGTCTATGTGAGGATTGACACTCCACCCAAGATTCTCCAACTAACGCATTTCAGGCTCTACTGGGCTTATTCATAGAACTGTAACGGGACCAGGAAAATATGAATAATGGGATCATATGTCCAGAATCAGTGGCATCAAACCTTAAAGTAGCTGTAAACCCTTACATATACCCAGTGAAGTGACTACCCTCAGGTGATACACAGAGATTAAACACATTCTCCTATGTAAGGTGTACCTGTTTAGTTTTCTTTAGACTTCTCTTCTCTACGTATGTTCAAAGTGCAGAATTTTTAAAGCTTGTCTGAGGTCTCAGAAAGCAGGGGGCAGGGAGCTGAAGTTACACTCTGCAGAGTTCAGTGAGAGCTAACTGGAGGGAACATACACCCCCCCCCTTCTTCACACAGGAACAGAGCAGAAGCTGTCAATCACAGTCTGTGTACTGGAGCTCCCTCCTCATCATAATTTTTTTACTTGGTGTCAGGATAACTTTTTAGAAGTGACTCATGCTGATAGCAGAGGAAGGAGGCAGCAGACAGAAATGACACTTAGTGCTCTGGATTGAGAGAAGTACACACTATAGAGGGATATGCTTTGTTCGTATTTCATGTCTGAGGTTTACAACCACTTTATTGTGGACTTAAGGAGACAGCTGGGCTGATCTGCACCAAATGGAATACAATCTTGTGTTCACTGTGGCTTGCTTAAATAATGAAGTCAGATTGTTTGACATGTGTGTGGGTGGGGTGTGGGTAGGACATGGTTACTTTTTTCCATGTTTTCCCACTTAACTCATTGGACGCTAAGCCTGGGTCACATAAAAAGACAGCCCTGGGGGGTGAGTTCTTCTGGGCTACACTAGGCAACTGCAACAGAATTGCTGTCCTACACTTGGGGTACCTTTTGCTTTGGTGCCGTTTTCACCAATATCCTCCAGTTGACTATTGGTCCCCTTGTAAATGTATGTCTTCCAACTACAGCTTGCAGTTATGAGGACCATGCCGAATAGTGACCACAAACACCTGTCCAGTGCTTTCCACTACTGTCCCCAGTAGCAAGGTGGGTAGAGAGTAGCTAGCACAGACTCCAATGTGCACTTGACTTTAACTCGTGAGTTTCTGTACCTCTGAACAGGTTTGGAACCTCTGTGGTGCAGATCTGCTCCTGTTGCCATGGAATACGAAGCACAATGTAGGGAGTGCCGACTGTCTCCCTTGCTGCTGATGGCTGTTCCACCTATGACAGGTACATGCTATCAACAGGCAAACGACTGACTGTAGATCTCCATTGCCCATGGCAACCACCTCATGTAGAACTTGTATTAGGATGACTTTAAATGCTGGCTTGACTCTTCATACCCAATGTGCTAGTGACCCACGGCTTGAAGAAGTGTGCTAGTTACTTGCATTACACCCCTTTAACCACCTTCCGCCCGCCCTACAGTACAATGACGGGCGCAAGGTGGTTCTCTCGTTCTGATAGGACGTCATATGAGGTCCTACAATTCTCACTGCGCATGCGCGGCTCAGGGAGCCTGCAGCGCGGCGATCGCCAGTGTGCTGTGTCCCTCGGACACAGCAGATCACGGAAAGAGCCGAAGATGTCGGCTCGGTCATGTGATCAGCTGTGTCCAATCACAGCTGATCACATGTAAGCACGGAAATGCCGGTTATTGGCATTTCTCTCCTCTCGAGCTGTCACGCTGACAGCTAGAGAGGAGAGCCGGTAATCGGCTTTCCGCGGAGGGGACATGTACACTGATTATCAGGGCACTGATGATCACTGTGGCCCCAGAAGTGCCACCTGTCAGTGCCCATCAGTGTGCCACATACCAGTGCACATCAATGCCACATATCAGTGCCCATCTGAGCTGCCTTTCAATGTCACCCATCAGTGCCAGTCAGTGCCACCTATCAATGCCAATCAGTGCTGCCAGTCAGTGCCACCTATCAGTGCCAGTCAGTGCTGCCTAACAGTGCCAGTCAGTGCCGCCTATCAGTGTCATGTATCAGTGCTGCCTTTCAGTGCCCATCAGTGATGCATGTCAATGCCCATCAGTGCAACCTACCAGTGCCACCATCTGTGTCCATCAGTGCAGCCTATCAGTGCCCATCACTGCAGCCTCATTAGCGCACATCAGTGAAGGTGAAAAATCACTTATTTACAAAATTGTATAACAAAAACTAAGAAAAAACTTTTTTTTTTTCAAAATTTTCAGTGGTTTTTGGTTTGTTTAAGAAAAAATAAAAATCCCAGAGGTGATTAAATACCACCAAAAGAAAGCTCTATCTGTCTCAAAAAAATGATAAACATTCCATATGGGTACAATGTTGCATGACTGCGCAATTGTCATTCAAAGTGTGACAGCGCTGAAAGCTGGAAATTGGCCTGGGCAGGAAGGGGGTATAAGTGCCCTGTAGGCTAGTGGTTAAATAATGTCAGACCAGGCAGAAAGCAAGGTTTAACACTTTACTTAATAAAAGTGCCAAAAACATGACAAAGTCCCATGAACAAGAACAGTCATTTTTCCTAAGTCCTTAATATTACTCAGGCTATGTGCTGCACTGGCATATCTGCAAAGGTAGTGTCCATGTGAATAGAGGTCCATCAGTGGCATTCTCCAGGAGCTGGTGTCTTTGGGGCAAACCCCAGGCTCCAGTGGGCCCTTACAAAGTGATGGGCTTCCAGACGTTAGCAGATGTTAGTAACTTCAATCGGCTGAGGATCAGCAGCACAGAAGCCGGAAGAGAGCTCAGAGTTCAAGCTCTTTCTCTCTTGCTTCTAATCCCAGAGTCTGGACCACTGTCCCTTTTTATAGTGACGGGACCAATGGGGTCAGACCCAAAAAAACGCCAAATACAAGACCTGGGAAATACAGTTAACCCCACACCTCCTGTCCAGGGCAGTACCTAAATAACTAATTTCAACCCACTTAGAGACGTTCCTCTGTGTATCCTTTCACACTTTTAGTTTGGCCCTGACCACAGTGGAAGTTGGGTTTTCAGAGGTAGTACCAGGAATGCAGTACTCTGGGATGAAGAATTTGCCTCACATACACAGAGAATGACCTATAGGCTCACTGACCCAATTTATAATGAACAATTTCAGCATCAAAGGACAAAATTCGTTTTAGGAATGTAGGGATCATAGTGGAATTTAGTTTCTCAACACTGGAACAGAAAATGGTCCAGAGGAGTATGCTTGAGTACAGAAAGCACAATCCGTAATGAAGTTGCCAGGGCTCCCGGGTATGACCAGAGGTATGTGACTGACGCAGGGAAACGCAGACTTCAGATATGTTATAAACAATATAATTTATTAACACTAAAAATACAAACATAAACGCAGTGCAATACTAAAACATAACACAGTGCAAACGAACCAAACCAAACCACCCACAGATAACAGTACATACAATGCAAGCGTCGTCAGGCGGGCCGGGTCAATAACAATCGGGCAGGTAGGTACAGGGGGAGCAAGCGGAGAATGGTCGGGGTCACAAGCCAGGTTCAGCAGGTAGCGGGCAGCGTGGTACAGAGGGTCAGGCAGAGGGATGGTCAGGAACGAGCCGGGGTCAGAGCAGGAGAGGGTCAGCGTAATCAGAACAGGCAGAGTTTGGCAACAAGGAAATGTACTAGCAGGAACACAGGAACAAGAATGCAGGATTACAAGATACAGGGCCCAGGAAAAACACACACACCAAGGCAAAGACTGCAGGTCTGGCCATCACTTAAATACACCTGCATAAGCAGTTTCAGGTGTTTGGCTGGCTGCAGGGTTGAGTCTCTGATTGCTGGGAGCACCCGCTGGCCAGCCCTGGTACTGCAGCCCACAAGGCAGGTGAGTCCCACCATTACTGGCAAGTCCATTCCTAACAGAAGTATTTAATAACCTGTTTGGATCCTGTTTATGCTAGGTCATAAATATGTTCTGAAGTCCTATGGCGTCCATGATGTCCGGACGTTGTAGAACTATAGCCCCAAGCCTGCAAAGACAGGCAAAAATGGCTTCCCAGGTAGTAGCTTTTCAACTTGAAGGAAAGCGTTTGGAATAAATGCATGCTGGGTTGATTATGGGTAGGCTCAGGTTTGGATCTACTGGATGGAAGAAGAAAATCGTTTGTCTTGGTTCTTCTATGAAGGACCAAAAATCACCACAAAATGAAATCTAAAGTGAAACAGTGGGCTTCACGGGCATTCAATCTCTGCGCAAGGTATAGCATTTTTGTGGTTTTTATCTATAGTGACAGGGCAATTTGCCCCCTCTAACAGCCACTGTTGGAGAATACATTTTACAGCTAGCAGTTCAGTTTCTGAAAGAACAATTCTACACTGGTGTGAAGAAGACATGGGGATGTGATTTCAAAAGAAAAATTGGAACAGATTGCTTTGACCTCTTACAGAAGTATAGACCTGCAAATTGAAGAACAGCTAACATCAGGAGGTTTCAATAAAAGAGCAAGTAAAAAAAACTCCTTCAAAAGCCTACATGGCTTCCATTTAGTAACAGTAGTGATTGGGGAAAAAATAAAAGAGAAATCAGTTGAGAGTTTTGTTTCTGCAAAATTTCTTCTAGAGCAGAATTGGTCATTTTTGCAGTTTCTCTGAAATTATTACACTCATCCCTAGTTGTTTAATTGAATGTTTAAAATGTTTAATTTTATGAAAGGATATTGCAGATTTTTCATTTCCTTTGACCTTGCAACCTTTATTTGAATAGCTCCCACCTGTCTCAGCCTTTAGGAAAATATTACCAACATACATATCAACCATCTCTTGTGAGTACTGGAAACGAAAGGAAAACTATCATTTTTGTAAGTTTTTGAACTGATGTGTTATATCTGTTGTTTTGTCAAATGTATATATAATCTTTGTTTTATAAATGAGCATTTAATATACTGTACAACAAAGGATTTCCAAAGCACTATAAGAATTAAAAAGAATAGCTTTGTCTGATTTAAAGCTCAAAAAAGCTGTCCAATTTGGATTGAGTCATTTATATGACTCATTCATTTGCTGCATCGCCGGAGACATTCTGCACCTCTGAGGGGTTCCCAACTGACAGCTCTTCTGCTGTTGTCCCACTCTCTACCTCCAGTCTCCATGCCTGTACACACAGGTGGATCTTTCAGCTAGTTTGCAGACCTTTTTCTGATCTTGCTACTGCTGTGTCCCTCCTGAATTGATGGCCTCCCCCCCAGGCAGCTGCTTCCCTCTTTGACTCTGTGACATCATGTGCCACCACTGGGCCCTGCTGTGACTGCCTGCCCCTTCCTGCTGGGACCCCTCTCTGTCTCTCTTTTGTGACCCCTCCACCCACCTCATTTTCACTCACCCTCATACCTGACCCTCCCATCAACATCTCTTCCTCATACCTGACCCATCCACCTACCTACCCTCCTAACACCTGTCCTGTACACCTACCTTCTCATACCTGACCATCCAACTACCTCCTCATACCTGTCCTGTCCATTTGCTTTCTCATACCTGACCTGTACACCAAGCTCCTCGTACCTGACCCATCCACCTACTTCCTATTACCTATCCTGTCCATCTACCTCCTCATACCTGTCCACTTAGCTTCTCATACCTGACCTGTCCATGGTGAGCCCCCAGGGGGCCACAGCAAGTCATCATGACCCCCAATTTCCACCATATGACTGCACTGTTTCACAATTGCTGTTGTATTGTCATTATTACCCCTTTGTTGTCCATGTATTCTAACAATTGCAGTGACAAAAACATGGGCAGTCGTGACATCAGTACCCGTGGAACTCATCAGCAAATGCAACGCAATGACAAAGTACAGTGAGTACAATTTAGGGAAGGGAAGGAAAATTTGTGCTGGAAGTGGTTTTGTCATGGGGGACGGGGGGGGGGGGGATGTTGTACTGGAAGGTGAAAGGAATTTTTGCCTGGAAAGCACTCTGAGGGAAATTTTATGAAAGCTGAAGCAGCTGGAACCTAAAGCAGCTTTTTATTTTTCATTTTTAACTGAACAAGCTGAAGATGGAAGCTAATTGGTTCCAGTGCACAGCTGCTCCTGATTGTAGCTTCTTCACTTTTGATTAATTTCCCTCCTCTGTGTTTTATTTACTTTTTACCTCTGCATTGTGTGCAATACCAACTCCTGACCTCTGTGTGTAACTTACTACAAGCAGCATATAGAGTGCATCAGTCAGGATGAACCCTCTGTTCATCAGAGTCACCCTTTACATCAAAGTCCCCAGCATTTCCCTATAGGTCATAGCTCCCAGAGTCCCTCCTTACATCAGAGTCCACAGTGTTCTCTCTTACACCAGAGTGCCCCCCTAACATAAGAATTCGCAGAGCCCCCCTTAAATCAGGGTTTGCCTTGGGGACCCTCCTACACCGCCCAACCACCCCAGGGTCCTCTTCTCCTAACCTTGGACTACCCAAGGGCCCTGTCCTCCACCAAACCTCCAAGGACCTGCTGACCAACCTGGGGCCTTCTCCTTCTCCACCAATTATCCTAGGGCCTGCTCCTTATCTGCCAACCTCCCAGGGGTCCTCTCCTCCTCCCTCAATCACCTTGGGGGCCCTCTCCTCCTCCCCCAGGTGCCCTCTCCTACCCCAGGTGCCCTCTCTCCTCCTCCCCCAACCACCTTAGTGGCTCTCTCCTCCTCCCCCAACAACCCATGGACCCTTTCTTCCTTTACCAATCTTTCTGGAGCCCCATTCTCCTCCACCAACCATCTTAATCACCACCTTAATCAGCCACAGAACCTGTGTAATTAATGAGTTCAGTTTTAAAGGGATGAGGTGGCAACCCTACCTGGGACCCGCAACAGCCAAGCAAGGTGGAGAGGGAGCAGGCAGACCAGACAGACCGTGTAACCACTACCGTTGCAAGGACACACCCACCACCCAAATCCTCCAATAGAATGTCATTGGACAGCAAAACTCCAGACAG